CTTGATCCCTGACAGCTGGTAGTGATTTCTCTTTCCTGAAATGACCATATATCTGTTTATATATTAATCTCCCCTCCCCCTTTCCTCTCCCACCCTAAAAGGCAGTTATAAGAAGTGAGAAGATGGAGAAGATCTGGACTGGGGTGGTGGTTATGTGGGTGTGGGGGAAGGGACACAAGTGAGAGGTGATTCAAAGGGAGAATCTGAGGGACTTGGCCGCTGCTGAAGTGGGGGAGAGAGATGGATTAAGAGGGAGCAGACAAGGGATTTCAGGTTTGAGTGATTGAAGACTGTGGTGTCCCCATTGAAAGTTGGGTCAGGCTAAGGCAGACCGCAGGGTCACAAAACTAGAGCTGGCAGGGACCTCAGAGGTCATCAGAGGCCAATCTCCTTGAGAAGGTTAAGGGATGTAGCCAGGGTCCCAATCCCCAGGCCAATTCTCTATCCACTCCTCCATAGTGACTCCCCATTTACCCTACAGATAAATAAAATCAGCCTACCGGCTGTTTTCAGAATTCAGTGGGCTTCTCCTTCCCCCAGAATTCACCACAAAGCTCCACGCCCGGGTTGCAGATCTCCATTTTCATCTGTCAAAATCTTTCTCTTCTTCTAATGCACTTTTTGGGTCTTACTCTTTCCATGGACTTTTCACTGAACCCCCAACTGAAAATATTCTCTTCCTCCTTGAAATTTCCTAGATTATTTCACTGGAATCTTTCCTTTACATCCTTCACTCTGCCTTATACTCTAATGCTCTGTATACATATTTCTAACCTTGATCTCCATCTCCTCCAATAGAGTGTAAGCTCCTTACAGGCAGGGATTGTCTTTTTTCCCCTTTCTTTCCTTCAGGACCTAGCCCAGTGCCTACGACAGAGCAGGCAGTAATAATTGTTCATTGATACTCCAGTCCAGTCTTGTCCTCTTTTCCATGTTCAAAGACTGTTCAGGGGGCATAAACAGGGGGTAGCTTTCAAATTTGTTGTTCTCTTGGATAGGGCTTTGAGCATCTAGGTGGCAAAGTGATTAAAGAGCCTGACCTGGAGTCAGGAGGACCTGAGTTCAAATCTGACCAAAGACACTTACTAGCTGAGTGACCCAGGGTAAGTCACTTGACCTTGTTGGCCTCATATCCTCATCTGTCAAAGGAGCTAGAGAAGGAAACAGCAAACTACTCCAGGATCTTTGCCAAGAAAATGGGCTCATGAAGAGTCTGACAATAACAACCTTGGATTACAAAGTCATCTTACTTTTCACTGCATCACAAGGCACTGTGTTATTTGATCCTCTCAGCAAGTCTGTGAGGTGGTCAGGGCAGAGCTTATCATGCCCATTATACAGCAGGAGAAACTAGAGCCCCAGCATGTCAATGGTAATACAACTTGTAAGTGGTAGGGATGAGACTTGAACCTAGGTCTCCTCACTCCTGTGCTATTACTATGGTATTACACATAACACACATACGTACATAGTCACTCAGGTCCAGCCCTGTGTGTGCCATCCCCCACCTCTTCCTCCAACCTTGGGGAAGGCCAGGTATATCTATCCAGCTCTTTCCCTCATGCTGATCTGAATTCATCTGGCCATCCCCTCCCTCCCTTCGTTCAGCTAGGCCTGGCAGGCATCCAGATGGTCAGACTAGAGCTTTGGGAGCTGGGGATGGGGCTAAGGAGAGCTAAGTGCCACTTAGCAAGCTCTAGGGTCCCCTGTGGGTGGATGAAGTGGGGAAGGGTCACTGATTCTGACAACTTCCTCTCTCCTAACTTCTACCCCCCAGGTATGATGTCAGAGTCCCTAATAAGCAAGAAGTGCCTGCTATGTTACTGCAGCTGTTCCCTTTAGCCCCCGAGGAGAAGGGGAATGTGGGTCCTCAGGTCATGATCCTGCTCTCTGCCGTAGACAGACAGACATTAGATAGATGATAGATAGATAGATAGATAGATAGATAGATAGATAGATAGATAGATAGATAGATAGATAGATGGATGGATGGATGGATGGATGGACAGTCAGATGGATGAACATACAGGCAAATGGATGGATAGATAGATGTATGGAAAGAAAGAAAGAAAGAAAGAAAGAAAGAAAGAAAGAAAGAAAGAAAGAAAGAAAGAGAGAGAGAGAGAGAGAGAGAGAGAGAGAGAGAGAAAGAAAGAAAGAAAGAAAGAAAGAAAGAAAGAAAGAAAGAAAGAAAGAAAGAAAGAAAGAAAGAGAAAGGGAGGGAGGGAGGAAGGAAGGAAGGAAGGAAGGAAGGAAGGAAGGAAGGAAGGAAGGAAGGAAGGAAGGAGGGAAGGAAGGAAGGAAGGAAGGAAGGAAGGAAGGAAGGAAGGAAATGTAGGTAGATAGAGCCTGTATCAAGCACTTACTATGTTCTAGGTACTATGTTAAGCACTGGGGATACAAATACAAGGAGGTAGGAATGTTCTTGCCTTCAAGACTCTTACTTTCTAGTGAAGGAAGGTCACACATAATGGTGAAATAAAAAAGGAAGGGTGTATGCCCATGGTGGCAAGATTATAGTCACCTGAGCACTGAAACTCCCAGCATTTCTGATGAGCAATGATGTGTCAGGTCCCAATAAACCCTAGGTTGGGCATCAGACCTGGGTCACTGGGGAGGAGAGCAGAATGCATCCTCACTCCTCAATTTATTTTTCATTTATTGATCCTATTAAATGTTCTTGCCACCCCCCACCTGGATTTAAACCTCTTGAGGGCAGGGACATAGTGGACAACTAATAAAAAAAAGCTGGTTGAATTAATTATTGAGAGAATGTTTCCTTTGTGTGTTTCTTCAAGTAATTCAGCCGTGGAAATGTTACCAAAAACAGGAGTCAGGAGATGAGGGTCAAGCTGAACAAAGAAATCATCTATTAGCACCTCTTAGATTGGAGGTTTCTTTTATCTACACACACACACACACACACACACACACACCTACCTCTGGGACCTACTCACCCAACTTCAGTCTCAGCCATGAGGACATCCCTACTGGGCACGTTAGGATCTCAGAATTTTGAGCTGGAAGGAACCTTAGGGGGTCACATTCCAACCACCTTGTTTTATATTGAGTTTGTAGGTCTGGTGTTTGAGACTGGGTGGTCTGACTTGAAATGCACCAGTGCTAGGGTGGTTAGCTTGCAGGGCTGAGTGCCCTAGTGGGTGCTTAGGGGCTGTTCCCACTGGGCTCCATGCCATTTGTGATTCCCCCCAGCTTAGGTTCATTTCCCAAAGACTCCTATGCCCATGAGGATGACCATTGTTATCATCTCAGAAAACGTGGCTTTTCCATTTGCCACTGCCCCCCTGTGCCCATTGGCCCTGCAAAAGAGCCAAGCTTCAGACCCAGGGAAAAGGCCATTAACCTAAACTGGTCCTTTGGAAGGGCCAAATTCTAGGACAAACTGGGCAGCATGTCTATGCATGTGTGTAGTGATTTAACATTTGCAAATCTCTTTCTGTGTTAACTCAGTTGATCCCACAACCCTGTGAATTAGGTGCTATTATCATCTCTATTTTATATATGAAGAAACCATAAAATGGGAATAAGAGATAGAGGTTAAAAGACTTGTCCAGGGTCATGTGTCATGTGTCTGAACTTGGGTTTTTCTGATTTCAAGTCCTCTGGTCTTTCTCCTTTAATACCCACCCGCTGAGGGTGGGTGGAAGGAGGGGGTATGGGGAAATGGCCTTCCCAAGCTGTCCCTAAATGATGATATAAGTAAGAAGTACTTTAAAGCCCAAGTTCGGGGAGCCCCTAGAGACAGAGAGCTTCTGTAATCTTAAGAGAAAGAGAAAGAATGAAAAATTTTATTTGTAAGTGTAACACCCCTTTATGTTACCTCTGAGTATTTGTGGCCAGTTTGGGTTCAGAGCTACTTAGATTCTTGCTAAAAACCCCTATTTTTCCCTCTCTGAACACCTCTCCCGCCAAGCAGACAACATTAATTATAGGTCGTACATTATGTAAGTCTTGCAAAAAGAGATAATTTACTTAAAATAGAAATGCCGGCCAAATAGTAGGAAAATACATTAAGCAGCATTCTCAACAATGGTTCCCACCTTCCCTTGGAAGTCTCCCGGGATCATGGTGTTGGCACGTATTTTGCTTCTCTGAGGTTTATCCTGCTATCTTCCAACATCTCTGGGAAACATTAATCAACCTTTCACTGAATCTACCTCGGGTCACACAGAGAATAAAAGACTGAGCCAAGACTGGAACCCAGGCCCTCTGAATCACTGCTATTTGCTCCACAGTAAACCACAGGTCTGATTACTTAGGAGACTTTTGTGTGCTTTGTTTGATGGTGTTAGAATGATTAATTTAGAAATTAGAAATGCTGCGTTCCATTGGCCCTGGGATTTCACTGGGACAGGCAACCCCCCATGCGAAGGGATTCCCTCTACCAGTGAAGGTCAGCATCTTCTCTGAAATTTAGTCTCACAGGGTTGCCTAGAGCATTGAAAGATTAAGTCGCTTGTCCAGGGTCACACAGCCAATATGAGAAAGAGGATTTGAACTCAGCTCTTTCTGGCTCCCAGGTTCTCATTCTTTATCCAGGGGTGGGGAACCTGCGGCCTCGAGGGCAAATGTGGCCCTCTAGGTCTTCAAGCCCTTTGGCTAAATCCGAACTTCACAGAACAAATCCGCTTAATAAAAGGATTTGTTCTGTAAACTTGGACTCGGACAAAAGGCCTCACCCCAGGACCTAGAAGGCCACATGTGACCTCGAGACCCCAGGTTCCCCACCTGCCTTATAATGCTTTTTACAGCTGAAAGATTACCCACCCACCCCCCCACACCCGTCCTCAGTCTCTGCTTTGGATACTGGACTCTCCAGGGGCAAGGAGATCAGATCGGGGCCTGTCGGAGACATTTCTCAGGGAATGGGGGCGGGGAGCAGAGACAGTGGGAGGTTAAGTGCCTGCAGCTCCTTGATCTGTCCTCTCCTTCTGTCCTCTCTTTCCAGCTTCTGGCCGCTCCTCCCACCTGGCCACGCTGATGCCCCCCAGGGTCTCATGCTGCTCCGCTGCTGCCCGTCAGCTACCGCCTGTCCCACACCCGCCTGGCCTTCTTCCTTCGAGAGGTGCAGCCGCCGCCCCCACCTACAGCCAACAGCAGCGGCGGGGCGCCCCTGCAGCGCTCTGAACCCTTCGTCGTCTTCCAGACGAAGGAATTACCCATACTCAATGTATCCCTGGGGCCCTTCAGCACCAGCCAGGTCCTGGCCCGGGAGCTCCTGCAGCCCGCCAGCACTCTGGACATCCCTGAGAGGCTGACGGTCAACTGGAAGGTTCGGGCCTTCATAGTGCACCCTCGGGTGCCCGCCTCGCAGCCCGTGGCCCAGGTCTTGTTCTACGTGGCCGGCCGGGACTGGGACGACTTTGGGGCCACCGAGAGACTGCCCTGCGTCCGCCTGCACGCCTTCCGCAACGCGCACGAAGTCAAGAGCTCCTGCCGCTTGAGCGGAGGGCTAGCCACCTGCCTGGTCCGGGCCGAGCTGCCTCTGGCCTGGTTCGGACCGCCTGCTCCGGCGGCACCACCCCCTGCCCGCCGCAAGCCCCCTGAAGGCCTGGAGCCCGAGCCTGGCGGGGAAAGCCAGCAAGCCGAACTCTACTATAGACTACACTCCCCCGATGCCAATGGGGGCTGTGGTGGGGAGGGCGCCCGCCGGGGCGGGGGAGGAGCCCGCGCCGAGGGCCCCACGCAGTACCCGCTCCTCCGAATAGGCAGCATCAGTCTTTTTCGCCCGCCGCCCAAGCGGGCCCTCCAGGAGCACCGGCTGGACGGCAACCTGGTCATCCGCCTCCCAGACCGACCCCTGAAACCTGGGGAGGTGTTAAGCATCCTCCTCTACCTGGCACCCAACTCCTCCTCCTCCTCCAGCCCCAGCGTGGAACATTTCACCCTCAGGTACAAGAGATCCCGCATCAGTGGCTCCGGGTGTAGTCCCAGGATCATGGATTTAGAGTCACCCTGGAGGCCATCTTGCCCAGACCCCTCATTTTACAGATGAGGAAACTGAGGCTCAGAGAGATTAAGGGACTTGCCCAGGGTCACCCACTTAATGTGTCACAAGCTGGATTTGAATCCAAGATTTGTAAAAACCAACAGAGGTCCAGCTCACTAAATGTCTCCATCTTCCCCCTACCTTCAAGAAAGGCTGGGCTTGACCCTTCCCAGGCCTGAATTCTAGTCCCTGCTTCACCATTAACTTGACTTTGGGCAAGTCAGTTCACTCTTGGAACTTCAGTATTCTCATCTGTATAATGGGAATGATCATACCTGTTCCACCTACCTCATAGACTCATCTCTTGCCCCTTTGTTTAGGGTTACTAGAGAAAAAATGGGGGAGGGGTTGGGCTACGGACAAGAAGGTCCAGGTTGGGGAATTTGAGAGATGCTGGCAGCAATAATAATTAGAACCACCACAACAATGATAATAAATACAGGACGTTAAGGCTTGCGAAGTATTTTATATATGTCATCTCCTTTGACCCTCACAGCAGCCTGTGAGGCAGGTGCTGTTTTATCTTTATTTTACTGATGGGGAAACTGAGCCTGAGAGAGGATGTGGCTTGCCCAGGGTCACACAGCTAGTAAGTGTCAGAGGCTCACCTTGAATTCAGATCTTCCAGGCCAACATTTTATCTACTGGGCCCTTGAGGCTGCTGTTAATGGAGGAATTGGAGGGGACAAGAGGGATGACTGCTGGGGTCTGTGAAGTTGACGGGGTCCCCCAGTGTGGAAAATTTCCCTCCTGCCTGCCTCTCCCAGGCTCCAATAGGGGAGTTAGCTGCCAAGGTCAAAGCCTGTCTCCATATTCTTTAAGCTACATTGGAAAGTTGCATGGTTGATTACGTTGACTTCTATTGGCAGAGTAGGCTAACAAAAGGTCACAAGAGTCTCCTTGTCCCCAGAGAGGTAAGAAGAAGGGGGAGGCAAGAGAGAATGAGTGAGGTTTAGGCTTTGGCTTTGGCTCCCAGAATGAGCTTCAGTGGCTCTTCCAAGGAGTGTCTCAGCAAATTGAAGACCCGTTGGTGCACGGTCTGCACTTCATTGGCTTCAAATGTGTTATAGATTCATTGCAAGCCAACATAGTCCCATTAAATCTCATCATTTCCTAGACTCTGAGCCTTCCAGAAAATGGGAAATCCAAACTGAACTGCCCTTATGAATAGATTACAGTCCCGTAAGGATGTCTACATGAGGTGAAAGGATCGGAGATTAGAACTGGAAGAGACATTAGAGTTTAATCCCTTGGTTTTTTGGGTGAGGAAACCAAGCTTAAGTGACTTTCCTGACATCACACAGGTAGTAAGTGGCAAAGGGAATAAGTATTTATTAAGTGACTGCTGTATGCCTGATGCTGTGCTGAGCATATTTTGTAAATATTGTATCACTTGATCCTTATAATAACCCTGAAAGGTAGGTGCTGTTATGATCCTTACTTTATAGTTGAGGAAACTGAGGCAAACAGAGGTTAAGTGATTTGCCCAAGATCACATACCTAGTGTCTGAGGCTGAATTTGAACTCAGGTTTTCCTGACTCCAAGCCAAAAGCTCTCTTTACAATATCAATTAGCTAGAATTTAAATGCACGTTCTCTGACTCCAGTACCCTCCTCTTTTCACTGAGGAGTACACATGAGGGGTAGACGGAAGGCCCTTTTCTGTTCTCCTCACACCCCAGAAGTTTCTCCTCACCCAAGTCTGTGGTGGTAAAGATACCACCTTTAGTATTCACTCCTTTGGGTCAAGCATTACCTTCTCCTAGCTAGCCTAACAAGATTTTAAACTCCTTGAGGGCAGGAAATGAGCCCCATTCCTCCTTGCACCACTTAGATGAGTACCCTAGAACACAGCAGGTGATCAGTGGATGTTGGTTGAATTGAATTGCAAATAGGGCTACTTCTGGAAAGCACCCACTTTAACAAGCCAGTTAACACCTGAGTGTGAGAAAATGAGAAAGCTCACCAGATCCTGCTTCAAACAGCCAAGTATTTGAGGCACATTCTCCAGACCCTTGGAACTGAGAAAGAATTTTCCAGATGCCTGGCCCTTCCCCTTCACAAAGAGGTTAATTGGATTGCCTTCCCCCTGGCACAGGGAATACACTTCTGAACCCAAAGCAGAAGCTTAGTTCATCCTGCCTTAGACTAGGGTTCAATGGCAGATGTTGTGGCTTAGTGACCTCTGGAATTGGAAGGAGCTTTGGGCCCCACCATGACCCCCAGCCTCTTCTTCCCTCTTTGTCCTCAGGGTGAAGGCCAAGAAGGGAGTAACCCTACTGGGCACCAAGGCCCGAAGTGGCCAGTGGCAGGTGACTTCAGAGCTGCTCACAGGGGGAAAGCACTCGACTGCCACCGTGGATGTGTCCAGAGCTCAAAGTGCCCCCTTGCTCCCCAGGTCAGCCCCAACAGCCATCTTGAGCCCTCTGGAGGGTGGTCCCCCTGCTGACCCTTCTCATCCTGCACTCACTGCTGCAGGGAGGTTGGGGAAGGGAACAGGAAGGGGAGGGAGTTTTAGAAGGAAAAACAAATGAAGTCCAGATCAAGGCAGAAACAAGAAATCCTGGCTGCCAACAGGGAAGCTTCTGTTCCCAGCACCAGCTAGAAGGTGAGAAGTGGGTGTGAGTGCAGTAAAAAGAGCTGGGCAAGCTTTGGTAAGGCCAAGGATTGGGGTGAGAGGGGCAGGATTGGAGGGATTTCAGGCCCACTTATTGAGTCTTTCTCGAGGGTAAGGGAGATTGACTCCCTACCAGTTAGACTGCTCTCAGGGCTCCCCATCCCACCAAGGAAGAATAGCCCCCTGGCTCTTCTTGCTCACCCCTCCTGCTGCCACTACCTTCATACCTGGCAGGGAGGGCGAGGGACCCCTGGAGATCCTGCAGCTGGACTTTGAGATGGAGAACTTCACCAGCCAGTCCGTGAAGCGCCGGATCATGTGGCATATCGACTATCGAGGCAGGAGCCCCCTGCCCGACCTAGAGAGGGCAGTGACTGAGCTGACCGTCATCCAGAGGGATGTGCAGGCTATTCTACCCCTGGCTATGGTGAGGGACGTCCTGAGTGCATGAGAGCCTGTGGTGGAATTTGTGTGTATAATGCTGTTTCCTAAGTGATGGAGGTCTCTCGGGAGACCCTCTGTTGCTGATGTACCTTCCCATGTTTCACACATATTTGCAAACGTTCACATTGTTTTCCCTTGCCCTCCAGGGCAAGAACTGCTTCATTTCTGTCTTTGTATCCATAGCATCTATCATAGTGCTGATACAGAAGAGGTGCTTGGTGCATGCTTGCCGATTAATTGGTTGATTGATTGATCAGCAGACGTGTGTATATGATTGAGTAATCACATGTATGCACTCACCAACATGTGTATATAACTGTGTGCATATGATTATGTATGTATGACGGGGTGCGTATCATAGAGGAAGTGTGGTACGGCGGAAAGGGCACTGTACTTGGAGTTAGGGGGCCTGGGTTCAAATCCTGACTCTGCCACTTACTACCTGTTCAATCATGGGCAAGTCATTTAATCTTTGGGCTGAATTTATAAAATTGGAAGGTTAGATTAGATAGCTTCAAAGGTCTTTTCTGTTTAAATCTGTGTGTGTGTGTGTGTGTGTGTGTGTGTATGTGAGAGAGAGACAGAGAGAGAGAGAGAGAGACAGAGAGAGAGAGAGACAGAGACAGAGAGAGAGAGACAGAGACAGGCAAAGAGAAGAGGAAGAAAGTGATTGTGTTAAGGCCAAATGACTAAGCATGGGAGGGACTGAGTGAATTTGTGAGATAATATCTGAAATCGATATTTAGTATTAATTCATTTCAACAATTATCAAACCGTTGCCATGTAAAGGAGCACTCTGCTAGATTTTAAGAGTACAAAGATAAAAAAAACCCCAGCAACGTGGTACCTGGCCTCAAGGGGCTTACACTCTAGTACAGAAGGAACAAGTAGACATAGGCATGATTATTGGGGAGTTTGAGGGCAAAGGATCATAGAAATATGGACTTAGATCTGGAAGCGGGCTTAGAGGGAGATCCAGAGCAAGTGATCCAGGCAAATTTGAAGAAAAGGATTCCTTTCAGCTGGGGAAATTTGGGAGCATGTCTTGGAAGAGGTGGCAGCTGAATAGGAACAATAGGTGGAGATGCAGATAGGAGGCACCCAAGGCATGGGGGCTTGCTTGTGCAAATGTCCATTGGAGGAATGGTCCTGGAATGGGCCATTCATCCAGGAGACCAGTTAGAAGGATACTTCTAATAAAATGAGGGGATAATGGCACGTGTTTACCTGTGGATGTGTGCCTGTGCATCTGTGCACTATGGATGTGGATCTCGACCTATGTGTTGGTACAGGGGGAGGGCTAGACAGGCTTGATTTACCCTTCATCTGAAGAGTGAAGAACAGGGGGGAGGAGCATTGAGGGTCGGGGAGGAAGAGCCAAAGGGGAAGATGAGGAGGAAGGATGCTTTTCTTCTGGACGGTAGAAGAAATGGCGTAGGCTGGGGTCTGGATAGAGCCATAACAACCTCCTTTTTAAAACATCGTCCCCACCTCCCCTCCCCCACAGGACACCGAGATCATCAACACAGCCATCCTGACTGGCCGGACGGTGGCCATACCAGTCAAGGTCATTGCTGTCGAGGTGACGGGTCTGGTTCTGGATGTCTCAGCCCTGGTGGAGTGTGAGTCCAACAATGAGGACATCATCAAGGTGGGCACTGTGTCCCTCAGGGCCCCCCAAAGGAGCAGCTATCCCAGTGGGAGACAGGAGTCCCAGGGGACCTGAGCCAAAGGGGGTTAAATCAGTATTAGATAATACTCAAGAACCAATCCATTTTGGGTGGAGTATCGGAGGACACAACAGCATCATGATGGGGAGAGGGAAGGATGGAATGATGAGATTTGCGTGTCCTCTGTCTTGGGTTGGGGAAAAACTATTAGTTTTTATTGTTTTGGGGGTTTTTTCCCCTGATGAATCTTGAAAAGCTGCCTAGAGGAGGTGACCTTTTAGATGTGTGAATAATGGGGGAAAGATGGCTTGGCACCACTCCAGGGACTAATAGGAGAAAAATCCTATTGATAAGAACTATTTGGGGCAGGTAGGTGGCGCAGTGGATAGAGCACTGGTCCTGGATTCAGGAGGACCTGAATTCAAATCTGGACTCAGACACATAACACTAACTTTGTGACCCTGGGCAAGTCATTTAACCCCATTGCCTAGCCAAAAAAAGAAAAAAAGAACTATTTACTGTAGATATAGAATTCTCCTTTCTTAATTTAGGAAACTAACACTACAGTAGATTAGGCAAAGGAGTTGAAATCAGGAAGACTTGGGTTCAAATCCCCTTAGATACCTTAATCGCGGTGTAATCCAGAGTTAACCTCTCTGGGCCTCAGTTTCTTCATTTGTAAAATGAGACAATGAGACTTAATGACCTCTAAGGTCCCTTCCCATCCTAAATCTGTGATCCTCTGTCTCTTCCTCATCCTCCTCCCTCCATCCCTGATCCATCCATAAATACCTCAAGCTGCTTACTTTAAAAAGACTATTGTAGGTATACCGTGTCCTCAGCATTCCTGGGACGTAGGAGTCCCAGCTTGTGATAAATCATTTGTCAGACTACCTCCAGGGGGCCCCCAGATTTATCCTTTCTTGCCCAGTAGGGAAAGAGGGTTGGAGGCAAACAGGGGAAGGGGTGAGGAATGGGGGGAGTAAATGAGGAAGTGGAGGAACAGAGGAAGCAGGAGGGAAGTTGGCATAGGCCTCTTACCTGGGGAGCCAGAGAACCATGATTACAGTGTCAGGGTTCCCGGCGGGCTCCATAAATCAAAAGATTACATGGCTGGATCTGTTTTCTGTTCCTGTAAATAATTCAGCATTAAGGAGAACAGAAGAAGGGAGGGGGCTGTGGGTTTTTATTCCTTCTTCATCCTTCTCGCTGTCTCTCTGCCTTTGCCGTTCCTCTCTCCTCAGTCTCTCTCACACATACTTCTCTCTCTCTGGGATCGAAGTGTATGTAATTCATCTTGTCCTTAGATGCTCCTGCCTCTAGGAAGGATAATATTAATAGCTAATATTTTATATGGCACTTTAAGGTTTTCTAAAACACTTTACAAATACTATCGCGTTTTATCCTCACGACAACCCTGTGAAGTATGTGCTGTTATCATTGCCATTTTACAGATGAGGTAACTGAGGCAGATGGTAGTTAAGCGATTTGTCACACGGCTAGTAAGTGTCTGAGGCCAGATTTGACAGAGGGCCTAGCATTCAATCCACTGCACCGCCTAGCTGTTCCCCAAACCATCCCAGTGTAGAAAACTGTCCATCCCCCAGGCTCATGCTTGCAGGAGCAGAATTTTTGCTGCCCAGAAATGTTTCTTGAGGTCTAGCCAACTGGTATCCATGGTCACGGAGCTCAGAAGAGGAGCAGTTAGACCACTGGGCTCCCTTGGAACCTGGAACCTCCTACCCCCAGCCCCTCCACTGACCCACCCAAGGGTCCAGTTCTAAGAGATGAGAATAGAGTAGATTTTGTTTTCAAAAGTTGACAGTGGGATTTGCCCAAACCTGGAATGTTCTCCACTGACTTTAATGGGGGGAATGAGCTGCTTCGGCAGAAAGTTTATCACCACCCCACTGCTCCCTCTTCCGACCACTGTGGCAATGATGACCTAGCTTATGTGGGGACTCTGAGCTAACAGCCCCCATAGCATTGGGGGGCAGAGGAAGAGGAGAAATTGGGACCAAGAAGTCTCCCCACTCCTTGTTCTCCCCTCATTCCTCCCTGAATGCATGTTTTCTGTGTATGTGTGTGTGCACATATGTATGTTCCTGGGTAGGATCAGACTGTCTCATGTGCACATGTGTGGACCAGGGCAGCCCAGGTGTATGTGTGTACTTCTTTGTGTATGTGCGCATGTGTGTATGTTTTCAATTCAGTTCAATGAATTTTTATTAAGGACCTATTATGTGCCAGGCACTACTAAGGATAGAAAGTGGATGTGGGATTTCATTAGTATGGGGAACTCCTAGATGAGGAAAATCTCTACCAATGCAGGTTGGCACCTTCTCTTCAACTTAACAGTACAGGATTTGCTCAAAGTCACACAGCCAGTTTGCATCAGAAGCAGCCTTGAACCCAGGCTGGAAGGGAGCTGAGCACTTTTCTCCCTGCTTTGTGTCCCAGTCCCATCCTTTCCACTCCACTCACGTCTGTGGACAGTAGGATGTGTGTGTACATGTGTGTGTGTGTGTGTATATGTGTCTCCTTGAGGCCAGACTCCCCAGTAGTCTGTGAGATGGCACTACAAGGCAGGGATGTCTCATGGTTTCAACGACCAGGCAGTGACACCATGGCATCATACCTCTAGAGCTGGACAGGACCATCCAGTCCAATTGTTTCATTTTACGAGTTAGAAAACTGAGACCCAAACAGCTGACTTGTCTAAAGTGCTGCAGGATTTGAACTTGGGTCATCTCACTCCAAAGACAATGCTCTTTCCATTGTCCTGTGGATAATTAGTGATGGGGATGGTGGGCCCTTCACTGATCTCATGGGGCTGGGTAGTGAACGGCCCTTTGGGGACATGTCTGCATTTCAACCTTTGGTGCCTGCCTGCTGGAGAATGAGGTCCAGACAGAGGGACAACATGAAGCAGAGCAGGAGCCAGGCTAGTTGTGAGTTCATGCTTTGCAGGGACATTACTCTACCAAGTTATTTGTTGAGTGGCTCCTCCCTCCAGGCCCCTGGATCTGCTTCCTCTCTACCAGGGTCCTCTTGGCCTCGGCTCTTCTCCAGCCCTCCAGCAGCCCCCCTGCCAACCCTCCTCTCTGCCAAGTCATCTGGTCCTCCTAAGGCTCCAGATCCATTCGTGGGTCTTTCTAACTCACATCCCCTGCTTCCCTTCCCTACAGGTGTCCAGCAGCTGTGACTATGTGTTTGTGAGCGGGAAGGAGTCACGGGGCTCCATGAATGCTCGGGTGACCTTCCGATATGACGTCTTGAGCGCCCCCCTGGAGATGACTGTCTGGGTCCCCAAATTACCATTACACATTGAGCTGTCTGATGCCCAGCTCAGCCAAGTGAAAGGCTGGAGGGTACCCATTCTCCCAGACAGAAGGTACAGGCATGACCCCTAGGGACATACAACCTCCCCTCCCCACAAGGGGATCTTACTGAGTGCCATACTCAGCCTCCAGTGCATTCACCAATACAGATTCATGTACATACATACACACACACACACACCAGTCCTGGGCATACACAGGGGCAGGCACACGCTTCCTCTTACCCACATATTAGTGTTCAAGGTCACATAGTGTCTACACCCACTCTGAGCTTCTGGGGTGGGAAAAGTCAGGTAGGAAGGTTGGAGAAAAGGGAAAAGAATGATGGAAGAAAAGCAACAGAGAGGAGAAGTGAAAGAGGGAGGGACAAAGAGAGAGACAGGCAGAGACAGACACACACATGGAGAGGGGAGGGAAGGATGGACATGGAAGAGGCTAGAAAAATAAAGATGCATAAAGGGAAGGAAAGGAAAGGAAAGCAATATTCACAAGATTTGGAATAGGTGATGCATTAGAGATTACCCCAAATTGTAATGATGAGAGGCCAAGTGATTGCCTAAGACCCCATGGCTAGTAAGCGACAAAGCCAGGGTTTGAACCTAGGTTCTCCTGACTACAAATCTAGGACTGTACATCATCTCACACTATTGAGAGAGATGCTGAGCTCCTCAGACCCTTGGGGCTGGAGTAGAGGATACTGGCTTGAGTGTTTCTCTGGGATACTTAAGTGAAAAAGGGAGAGATGGTAAGAGAAGAAGGTGTAAGAGGGTGTATGGTTGGAAGGGGAGGTGAAGCATGGGATCACAGATTTAGAGTTTGAAGGAGCCTTAAACTCTCATCAGTCCAAACCTGGAAACACTGGGAGGGGAAGAAAACAAAATCTCCTAAAACAGGCTATTTCCTGGAGTGGGGCCCAGTCCCCTCCATGCGCCCACACAATAGATTCTATTTTCTTTTCTCTAGAGCTCAGGCCAGTGGGAAGGACCAGACAAGGAAAGTGAGGTCATAGAGAAGGGATGGGCCCTTCAATAAAAGGATTTGTTCTGTAAAACCTGGCCTCAGTCAAAAGGCCGCACCCGAGGACCTAGAAGGCCACATGTGACCTGGAGGCCGCAGGTTGCCCAGACCTGTATAGAGAGAAGAGACATGCTCAGGATATGTGGAGAGTCCAAGGGGACAGGACTGAGCCCAGCTGGCCCCTTGCATCCCTGCCCTCTCACTTCCTTTCCTCTTTAACACACACATGCACACACACACACACGCACACACACCACGTGCACACACACACATATACACACATACACATGCTCGAGTATGTGTATGTCCTCTTGTAGCACAGAGATAAAACATGGGGCTGCGGGCCAAGGATTCATCCTAAACCTGCTCTCTACCTGCTTATGGCCAGGTCAGCTCGGGGAGAGTGAGGATGAGGAGGAGGAAGAGGAAGAGAAGCGGCAGAACCGGGGATGCACTCTACAGTACCAACACTCCACGCTCCAGGTCTTCACTCAGTTCCACACCACGTCCTCTGAGGGCACTGACCAGGTGGTCACCATGTTGGGCCCTGACTGGCTGGTGGAGGTGACCGACCTGGTCAGTGACTTCATGAGGGTAGGTGACCCTCGTGTGGCCCATCTGGTGGACAGCAGCACTTTGGCCGGCCTGGAGCCTGGGACTACCCCATTTAAGGTAGGACTTTGTTCCTCCTCTAGTCCAACCCACACCAGAATCCCCCCCCCCCCAACTCTCTGTGTTAAGACCCTGGAGGCAAAGGGGACCCTGAGGCCGACGCCAGCTCTCCTGCTCCAAGCCCTAATTATCCCCTCTCATATACCTGTTCTTGTTAATAGCTCTGAAGCAGTGAGCTTTAGTCCATAGAAGGGTCCTTCTTGAGGGAAAGATGGGAGGTCAGTTAAAGGGCTGGGGCTGGGGCAGCCACAAGTTACTTGCTGCCCTGAGCCCACTCTCCCTGCCCCCACACTCACCCCTTGACCTGAGCACGTGGCCTCCAATTTGCTCCTCCCCTCCAGGTTGTGTCCCCACTGACCGAGGCTGTTCTGGGGAGAAACGATGGTGATGGTGACAGAGGAGAAGGTCAGCATCACGGAGCTCCGAGGCCAGGTGGTGGCCAGCCTCTCCCTCTCCCTGCGCCCCAGCCCTGGGAATAGTCACACCATCTTGGCTACTACGGCAGCCCAGCAGACCCTCAGCTTCCTCAAGCAGGTGACTAAGTGAGGCACTGAAGGCCCTGGGTACCTTGCCTCATGTTCTCACCCTCTGCCAACTGGGGTGACCACAGGTGGCATGTTCTTCTACTTCCTCTACTGCTCCCTCCTGATTCAGGAGGGTCTCGAACACGGGGAGTTTAACTACTCACCTCTTCATCCCATTGCTCTATCCTGGCTGGGTAAAGACTTAATTATGGGAAGTCTAGTAATTCATCTTTCTGCACTCAATGACTAGAGAGTACTTCTCCTGGAAACCTGAGAAACCTGTCCCCAGGTCTCTGGAGGACCAGACACCTGTGTTCCCCAACTCCATCCAACTGTGAAACCCCAACTATAGCTTCTTCCCTCTACTCCCTGACCAATAGCAACAGGAAGAAAGAAAAAGGGCTGGGAGACAGATGCAGAAAAGCTGAGTACAGCATGGAGCAAGGAATAACAGTACCATGGGTTTAGAGCTGAAAAAGACTCGAGGCAGGTGTTGTGGAGACCACCACCCCATTTTACAAATGTAGAAACTGAGGCCCACTATATCAGATTGCACAGTCTTGGGGAGGGAGGCAGGAAGGGGAGAAAAATTTAAAACTCAAAAGCTTGTAGAAGTGATTATTGATAAATCAAAATTAATTAATACAAAAAAGAAACTGAGGCCCAGAGAATTTAAGTGACTTGCCCAGAGTCACACAGCAGGAAGAACCCTCGGTCAGCGGATCCAGATTATCCAGGTTCTACTGTTGCCTGTGGCCTTGACTCGATGTACAATCTTAAGCAAATTATTTAGTCTCTCTGTGCCTCAGTTTCTTGCTCTTTAAAATGAGGAGGTTGGACTGAGTTACTTCTAAAATCCCTTCTAGGTCTGGAGTTTACAGTTATTTAGAGTGTAGGAGAGGAGGCCAAGGAGAGCTTGGACCAGAGAATACAGGAGCTAATAACAGCCCCCTACGCACATGAAGGGAAAGTCAAAACAGATTTTTCTTCATCTTTTCCAAAGCAGGACGAGGAAGTATGAGGCTGATGATGCAGGACAAGAGACTTGAATCTATTGACTCTATTAAGATAATGGGGTTGGGGGGATGGAGGGGGAAAGTGATGAGGGAAGGCTCTGAATAAATGAAAAGCCTCTGATTTCAAGGGGCTCACCTCGAATTGAAAGAGACAACATAGGGGGCAGCTGGGTGGCTCAGTGGATAGAGCACAGGCCCTGGAGTCAGGAGGACCTGAGTTCAAATCCGGCCTCAGACACATAATATGCACTAGCTGTGTGATTTAATCCCATTGCCTAGCAAGGAAAGAAAGGAAGGAAGGAAGGAAGGAAGAAAGAAAGAAAGAAAAAGAAAGAAAGAAAGAGTGAGAGACAACATATTAGAAAGTTCAACTGCAGGGCCCATAGAAAGGTATAAAGCCTGAGGGAGTGGTCTTAAGGTGAATGGCAAGGCCAAGGGGTCCTTCGGATGTGTTAACAGGTCAGATTCAGAGCCTGGAGGGTCTGAGCATAATAAAGCACACAGTGGGGTTAAAGGTAAGGCAGATTTCTAAAGATGGTAGTGCTGGGTGTTGTTCAGTCATCGCAGCTGTGTCCAACTCTCTGTAATCCCATTTTGGGTTTTCTTGGCAAAGATACTGGAGTGGCCTGCCATTTCCTTCTCTAGCTCATTTGACAGATGAGGAAACTGAGGCAAACAGGGCTAAGTGACTTGCTCAGGGTCATATAACTGGGAAGTGTCTGAGCCCATATTTGAACTCAGGGAGATGATTCTTCCTGACTCCAAGCCCAGAGCTCTATCTGCTGAGCCACCTAGCAGCCATATGTAGATGCCACAATAAATGGCTGGGATAGTTTAGGTTTAGAGAGTTGGATTTGATGACGTCCAATCCGACCTCATTAGAGCATTCCTATCCTCTGTCCTCCATCGCTCTCTGCCCAGTATTGTCTCTCCCCCACTCACCATCTCCACCTTCTCCAGATGACCTTGATGACACCTTTCCCTTTCTCAACCTTCCCCTTCCCTGGTCCCCTTCCCTGGCCATTCACCCTACAACTACATCCTCTCTTTCAGGAAGCACTCCTGAGCCTCTGGCTGTCCTACAGTGATGGCACCACGGCTCCACTGTCCCTGTACAGCCCAAGAGACTACGCATTGCTGGTCAGCAGCCGGGATGAGAGGGTGGCCACTGTGACCCAGGACCGGGCCTTTCCCCTCGTGGTGGCCGAGGCTGAGGGGGAAGGCCCGCTGCTCCAGGCTGATCTCACCATCTCAGAGAGCTGTCAGAAATCCAAGCGGAAGAGCATCCTGGCCACAGCGGCTGTGGGGCTGCGAGTGCGCTTTGGGAATGAGGAAGAGGATCCCACCTATGACTACCCGGGCCCGAGCCAGCCTGGCCCAGGTGGGGGCGGTGGAGACAGTGAGGATGAGGTCGTAGGGGCTGGCCACCCTGGCACTGCTTCCCCTCAGGGGCCACCCACACCAGGCACTGCTGGTCCAGCCCAGACTCCGACAGAGGATTTTCCACCCATCCCCACGGGCTTCACCCAGATGCCCCGGGGACTGACGGACCTGGAAATCGGGATGTACGCCTTACTAGGTGTCTTCTGCCTGGCCATCCTCGTCTTCCTCATCAATTGTATTGTATTTGTACTCCGGTATCGGCACAAGAGGATCCCCCCTGAGGGCCAGACCAGCATGGACCACTCCCATCACTGGGTCTTTCTGGGTAATGGACAGCCCCTCAGGGCCCAGGGGGAGCTCTCACCCCCTGCAGGCAACCCTCTGGAGGCCGTGCCTGCCTGCTGCCATGGGGACCACCACAGCAGTGGCAGCTCCCAGACCAGCGTCCAGAGTCAAGTCCACGGGAGAGGGGATGGCAGCTCGGGGGGCTCAGCCCGGGACCAGGCCGAGGACCCAGCCAGCTCTCCCACATCCAAGCGCAAGCGGGTCAAGTTCACCACTTTCACCACAATGCCCTCTGAGGAGCTAGCCTATGACTCAGTGCCCGCTGGGGAGGAGGAGGAGGAGGAGGACCTGAGGTGGGGCTGCCCAGATGTGGCAGGGGGCACATTGGCTGCCCCCCCAGGACCTGCACAACTACATCCGTAGAATCAAAGAGATTGCTTAGATGCCCCTCCCACAACTACCCCGAGCCTCCACCTTGGCCCCACTCAGCTGCTTTTCCGGGAAGAGTCTGCCTCAACCTCCCGGCTTATTCTGGGCCTTGTTGGATTGGGTTTTATAAATCCTAACCTTCTCCCCACCTCCTAACATTGGGTTAGGCCTGGGCAGGGCTGGCTCTGAAGCCTTGTCCCCTCCCCTCCACTCACCGCAGGCTCTCCCTCTGGAGGGACTAGCCCGGTAGGAAGGGATTGAAGGAGAGGCCCTATCTTCCCCCTCTCACTGTCTCCACTGCCTTCTAAAATCTAACACCTCTTTTCCCCCTCAGACAGTAAGAAGAGGCAGTGTGTAGACAAGAGAGAGAAAAAGAAATTGGGGGAGGGAGAGAGAAGCGCGGGCTTTTCCCTGTGTGCCCCTCCCAAGCTTTGTCTGCCCCCAGGGTTATCCCTTCCTTGGGGGCCTGCTTCCCTCCCCTCCCACTCCCCCATTTCTCCTCCTTCCCTTCCCCCAAGCTGCACAATGACTTTTCTCAAACCTACATTCAGGGATTTCTGTCCTGAGGATGGGGATGAGGGGACTCCCCCCGGCCCTCCTGAGGGATGGAGCTGCAGAGCTGAAGAATTGGGGCTGGCTTGGGAAGTCATACCCCCTGAAAATCTGGGAGGCTCCATCCCTCTCCAGATGCTGGGAACCTCCCCAGGTTACTTGTGGGAGTCCCCGTGGGAGCCCTTGGTCACGGGTTCAGCCCATGGGGGTCAAGGTCGGAGCCAGACTGTGCCACCCTCAGCTTGCCCATACCCTCAAATCTCCTCCCCTGAGGAATCGTTGAGGGCTTCTCCCCTCCTGCCTCCTTCCTATGGAGGCTCTGGGCAGGGAGCTGGTGTGTGGGAGGTGTCTACTCTGTCCACAACCCTTCCCCTCCACCCCAAAATCTATTGTCCAGAGATGGGGCACTGGCAATGACACTGTCCCAGAAAGGGTTAAGGGGTAGGAGGGCAGAGAAGAGGGGGAGCTCCATCTGCCCAGGCTCTCGTGGCTTCCCCACAATGTCTCACCCCTACTCCCAACCCAAGGGCACTGCCCTCTAATTCCCAGTTAGGCGGGAATTCTTCTAACCCTGTGATTTCCTCAGCTAGGTCTTCACCACGCCTTAGCCACTTGTCATGGGTTTGCCAGCTGTTTATTCCCTTTCTAGGTGGGTCAGGGTGGGGTGGCAGGGTGAGGGAGGCGCTAGGAGAGGCTGCCTTTCCCCCCTCCACCAACACAGACCCCCATGGGGTGGGTCTGAAGGCACCAGGAGACATATCGTCTTTAAGGGTGAGAGCTGAGGGCACCAGCATCACCGCCACCACCCTGGGGCAGCTGGATTGGACGATGCAACTTCTCAGATGTGATTTCTCCATTTGGGTTTTTACCCACCACTGTGTCTGATTTTTCTTAAATAAATAAACAGAAAAGACCAGTATGGGGCGGGAGCAGAGGGACCCAGAGAACAGATGTGCTGCACACCTGGTTCTGTCTTGTTCTATATACACATACACATGTGTGATCGTGTATGCCCCTTCCCCTCTTCACAGATACACAAATACCATTTGACATGGAAATAGGCCTGGGGTGAATGGAAGGGAAAAGACACACACAAGTGGGTAGGTTTGCACACACTGCTTACTAATGCTTCTTCCGGTGTGGAGCTGGCCACAGAAAAGGGGGAAGCAGAATATGGAATGGGACAGCGTAAGCCCAGCAGCAAGCTCAGGAGAAACTCTGCTGAAGCTTTAGAGTGGGATCACTCTGAGAGGCGATGTTTTCATCTTCAACGTAGATTGAATTTCAGGAAAGGGTTGATCTCAGGGTAACTTTCAGTCTTCACAGGGTACTGTCATTATTTCACTGGAAGTCATTTAGAAGAATAGCAGACACACCTGTACTTTCATGATCTCTGATATTCCTGTGTAGGCATTCCCTCCACCAATGCAGATTGCAATCCATTTATGCCTTCTCCTCTTGTACAATTCATGTCAAGGTCCTTTCACTTATCCATAAGGGATCTACGTAAGATGACAGACACTCCTGTTTACCAACATAAATGCAAAAACACATTCCAAATGCAAAGTAAATTCATGGATCAAAGGTGGGGGATGGGGGGGAGCCAACAAGTGGATAACCCAGATGTTGAACTGTTGCTTGCCACAAAATATTAAAGGATGAAAGAGAATGGTGAGTAGATGAATGGAAGATTTCCAGAAAGGAATGAAGAGGAACTGGACAGGATGAGAGAGTGTAAACGGGTCAGAATTTGCACAAGTGGCAGGCATCGAGATGACAAATCCATTACACGTGTGGAGCACTGTCCGAGGCACTTGGGGAAGACGTTTCTCCAACACTTCAACAATCTGCAGCCATGCACTTGCTCCACTCATTATAAGATCATAGCTCCTCCACCACTCAAGGTGTACCCATGCCACCTTCTCTGACACTAACAAGCTGCATGTCCCTGGGCAAGTTGCTTGACCTCTCTGAGTCTTAGAATCCTCCCTTATAAAGTGAGGGTCTCTATGGTCCCTTCTTGCTCTAAATCTATGATCTTATGATCCCCCAACAACTCAGGAGTTGGTCTTCAAGAGTTCTTGTAGTCCCAAAATGGCATAACCCTATGGTAAATCAAATGATTATGGGTCTGTGGCTAATGAAAAAGAGCAAAGAGATCATCTGGCCCAGTGGTGTCAACCTCAAATAGACAGAGGGGTCACTAAACCACACATAAAGATCCCCATGGGCTGCATATCGACCTAGAAAACTCCATATTTACATCATCTATTTTCTATTGTATTTTTATTGGTTTTCTTAAATATTTTAATCTGGTTCTGGCACTACCACCTCTGATCTATTCCATCCTCTCCCTTCCCCTCCCCACCATTTTACAGGACCTGAGTCTCATTTCCTGTTGATGCCATCAAACCCACTGGCCATATCCCTTTAGAGTTGCTTGGATAAAAGTTAGTTGAGACCTTAGAATGAATGAATGAATGAAGCCCGCAAGCATTTATTAACTGCTCACCATGTGTAAAGTGCTGTGCTAAGAGCTGAAAGTACAAATAGAATAGCAGCACAGTCCATGCTCTCAAGGAACTCATGTTCTCATGGAGGTGAGTGGGGCTCATCTACTCTGCTTTACAGATGAAGAAACCAAGGCCCAGGGGAGCTTCTAACTTCCTCAAGGACACACAGCTAATTAGCATCCGAGGTGGGATCATGGTGATATTTTGCAGATGGGGACACTAGAGCTTAGAGGGAAAAAAAATGACGTGTCCAAATAAATACCAGAATTAGAATGTGGACCCAGGTCCTCCAACTCTAAACCAGCACTCTTTCCTCTTTACCACTTGGTTTCTTGTTTATGTTTTTATTTTTCTTGTGCACGCCTTCACTCCTTTGTCTAGTCCTCAGTGATCTGTAAAGCAGAATGTGGTGGCAAATCTTAGCAAGGCTAGTTTTTGTGGGACAGACACATAAGGCCATCACTGGGCCAGGATGCTCCAAGCTTTTCTATCTTGGCAACACCTGGTGGAGTTGTCCAGCCCACCTAGCCTTTAGAGACTCCAGATCACATCTACAACATGTCAGGAAAGAAAAGGTGAGCTTCTGCCATTAAAGGGCTTATAGTCTAGCAGGAGAGATGGCAGATGGACAAATGACTAACAGAAGAGAGAGGAGAACAAGCATTTATTAAACACCTACTGCATACCAGGCATTGTGCTATGCATTTTACAAATATTGCCTTATTTGCTCCTCACTACCACTTAGGAGACAGGTCTATTATTATCCCCATTTTACAGTTAAGTAAACTGAGGAAGACAGAGGTTAAGTAACTTGCCTAGGGTCATGTAGCTGGTAAGTGTCTGAGATTGTACTTGAACTCGAGTTCTATTCACTCTATCCACTGCATGCAAGCAAGAGTGTTAGGAGGATTCAGAGAAGGGAGAGGTCACATTTAGCTAAAGAAATTGGAGAAAGCTGCATGGAGGAGGGACACCTGGAAAGCAGGCTGAGCTTTCAAAATGCTGGGGTGGTAGAGAGGGTAAAAGCTCCATGGGAAATGAGGGAAGGATCTGAGCAATAGTGAATAGTCTGGCTGGAGTGTCACAGTAACAATTCCCCTTTAAGGTTTTGCCAAGCACCTACCTCACAGCAGCCCCGTAATGTAAGTAATACAGGTATTATCTCCATTTTACAGATAAGCAAGGTGAGACTTAGAAAGAAGAAGGGATTTTCTGGCATGTACACATGGAGGATTCAGACCCAAGTCCCCTCACCCCAGTACAATGGGCTGCCTATAGGTAGTGACATGAAATAACGCTTTAGAAGGTAAGATGACATCCATGCTAGGTTGTGGGGAGTCTTGGATGCCAGGCTGAGAAATTTGGACTTTATTCCCCAAAGAGCTTCGAGTTAACTATCTTATCCATCTTCCTGGTGTCAGGCGTACTCGGGCAAAGCCCAGAATGATTTCTGGAAGAGCTTCCCCATCAGAAGAGTGAGACTTTGGAATAAGGGTTAGAATAAGGTCTTCAAAGACTGAGGATAGAGAAAGCCATTCATTTGATTTATTCAGCAAACATTTATTAAGGCCCTAATATGTGCCAGGTACCGGGGAGACAAAAATTAAGACAGCTGCTGCCTTCAGGGCTTTAGCTTCTTCTGGGGGAGAAAACACAAACACAGATAAGTAAAGGCAAAATGTATACAGAGGAATTTCTGTGAGGAAGGCACTAGCAATTGGAGGGATCAGGATGGGCTTTATGTAAGAGATGACACTTAAGGTAAGCCTTGAAGGGAGCTGGAGGTGAGGAGGAAGAGTATTCTAGGCATGGGGGACAGATAGCCTATGCAAAGACATGACCATGGGAGATGGAATGTTGAGCAGCAAAGGGACTGTTAGCTGTAACAAATTATGCAAGAAAGAAAGGAAAACGCAGGAAAGGGAGGTTGGAGCCAGAATGTAAAGGGCTTTAAATGCCAAACAGGATGCAGCTGTAAGGGATATCAGGACAGGACTGCTGGGAAGCAGGGGGAGGGACTAAAATCCCTGCTCTTTCGAAGCAATATAGGCTGAAGGCCAGGGGATAGTGAGGGGCCTTATGGTCAGGTCTCATGGGCAGAGCCCTCTACTCACTGAATCCCAGCCCTGGGCAGCCTCATCCCTTCGCCTCTCTCCCCATTCCAAAAGAAGCAGCAGAAACGGTTCCTGGAAACCAGCAGGGTCTGACCCCTGTGTAGTTGGAGAGGGAGCGTGAGTGTGGGGAATGAGGAGGGATATTAAGTTAACAGCCCCTTTGGAATGGCCCCGACACTGAACTCCTCTTTAAAAATTTGTCTTCAACCTGAAAATGAATCAGGGGACCTTGTAAAGAACCGTTATTGACAGAGAGCTGCTCTGGGAACGCTTCGGAAACCCGGCCCATGAATCAGACCAGCTGCTGAAATGAGATTTCCTGGAAAGCTGGGGACTCTGGCTAATGAAGAGCTGTGAGCCAGGGAGGAGGAAGGGAGGCCAGAAGAACCCCACTCCCAACACCCTCTGCCCTGAGTCTAGGCACCTGAGGAGCCTCCTTCAGAGCTCACCTCCTCCTGGAAGGCTTAGTCCTGTCCCAACTCTGCCTCGATAGTCTATATACCCTCGTTATTTGCCCATTTAGCTGAAGGAGAGGTAGATCATAGATTTAGAGTAATCGAAGCCATGGAGTCTGAGACATACCCACCCCGTCCCCATCTCATGTTACAGATGAGGCCACTGAGACCCAACAAGGTCTCATATCTTTCCCAAGGTCATATATCAGAGTAAGCATTTGAACTCAATTATTTTGACTAAATCCAGTGCTCTTCGGAACCATGGCTTATTAGAGGCCATCTCTACTAATTAGGTATCCCAAATGAGGAGACAGCCTGTGAACTGTGTTCAGTTCTGTGCACTATTTATTTGACAAGCTGCTGTCTAAAGAAGTCAATCCATAGTGAAGGGCCTCGCACCATGCCATACCAATGCACCCACGCCATAAAATGCCCCACATGCCAACCAGGGCTGTTTAACCTGGGGAAGACTCAGGGATGATATAATAGCTGTCTTCAAGCGTTTTAATGGCTCTTTTGTGGAAGAGGGGTTAGATTTGTTTCACTCTGCTCTAGAGGGGAAAATTAAGAAAAATTGGTAGAAGATGGAAATATTTAAGTTTGCTGCTAAGTATAGCAGAAGACTGTAGAACTCAGCCCTTCCTGTGGAGCTGGGAACAGAACACATGTCTCACAGGAAGGGGCCTGAATGCAACCCTACCTCTAAGGGAAGGGCTCCAGTCCAACCCCATAGACATATACATACGTGTATTGGGGAAAAGTTGCTAACCAAGCTACTCCTAAATTGGAATGGGCTGCCTTGGGAGGTGGCGGGTATATCCTCATCTGTCATCTCCAGGAGAAGGCAAGTGAACCTCGTGGGGAT